TGATTGACAGGTCTCTACCAGAGACGTATACGGCATCTCTACATCACTCCTCCTCAGTCTCTGTGCTGTGACTGCCAGCTAACAGAGCTAACAGAGCTAACAGCTGACGGTCTCCTCAGGCTAGGTACAAGGAGGCGAGCAGGAAGGAGGCGAGCAGCTGTCTGTACCACCAGCTACCTGTCACCATGGACACGCTGCACGCTAAGGAGGCCACGGAGCTGCAGAGTCAGGTAACGAGATGGAGCCTGAGCTCGAATTATATATGATTATACTATATCATTCCATAATGTGTGCAGCTTATTTAGCCCGGCTCAGTCCTGGTGTGGTTTACCTGGGTTCTTCGTCACCTCTCCAGCTGAAGTACAGAGAAGGAGGTAAGAAGGAGCAGAGCTCCAGCCTTTACTCCGCTCTGCCTCACACGGAAGAGATGAAGGCTGCTAAAGCTGCCATGGAGCTCCAGAGTCAGGTGAGTCTACACCGTGGAGTCACATGTTTTATGTGCAAAAATCTTGATTTATAGATCAACTAAAGCCATCAGATGTACAGCATGTAGAAGCTTTAAGTGGCATGAGAAGAACATTGTGTCATGTAAAGTACAGAGACTCAAAGAGACAAGCTAACATGAACACAACATGCTTCCTGTTGACTTCCTGTTGACTTCTTTCGCCCTCTTTGTGTTGGTGTTGTAGAATAAATACAAGCAGAAAGGCCGGCAGCAGATCAGCTGCAGTGTTTTCCACCAAATGCCAGAAACCAAAGAGACGGAGTTCATGAAGCAGATCTCTGAGCTTCAGAGCGAGGTGAGACGCTCTGTGTAGGTGAAACCTCTATATATATATTATATATATATATATATATTATATATATATATACAGTATATTACGGAGCCAAGCGATAGGGGCAATATTCAAATAAAAGATTCTGAAATTAGGATATCAAAATTGTAAATTTACAAGAAAAGAACTCATAAAATCTCTGAGGTTAAAGTCACAAATGTACATCATGAGTCGTGTTCTTGTGTTAAGGATTCACCTGAGGATATTCATACACATACATGTGTTTACTTTCATGTTCTCTTGTGATGAGGTCGATCCAAACATTCAAAGTGAGAGCATCGTTTTCCTTTATTTAAAAAAAACACAACTTTCCTAATTTTTTTCCTCCTCACTTTGTGAATTTAGTGAGTTGTTGTTTTTTCTCGTAAATTAATCACTTTAATTGCACAGAATGCAATTATGATGAGAGTTTTATTGTGAATTCTTCATAATTATTATTATACCTACAGTCCTAATATGGTGTCATAACATGACAATATATTTCATATTGTTCTCTTAGACTGAGTACCAGAAGAACACAGAGGAAACAAAGCATCAGAAGAAGAACTGGAGCATTTAATGATGTTAATCCACCTTTTCTTTTGTCTTTCTTTTCTTTTCTTTTGTCTGCAGACTAAGTACAAGAAGGACAAAGAGGATCTGTCCAACACGTTGTTCTCTCTGCTGCCTGAAACTCTGCACACTCAGTTTGTGAAAGAGATGAATGAGACTCACAGCGAGGTGGGAAACACTCACTCTCTGAATATTTCATATACATATATATACATATATACATACATATATATGTATATATGTATGTATATATGTTATGAACTGTGCGGTTATTGATCTCGTATTGTTGTCTTTCTGCTGCAGAGTAAATACAAGGAGGCGAGTAGGAAGCAGCAGGTGAGCTCTCTGTACTCTGTGCTGCCGGAGACCAAAGACACTCAGCACGCCAGAGAGCAGACTCAGCTGCACAGTGAGGTACGAACAGTCACTGAACTCTGTCAACACCTTGTCATAGTTTCCATAATGTCCATAAATTGGTGCATTTCTAATCAGAATTAACACATTAATATAATACTTAAAGCTGATACTTGCACCTCTATACAACACTTAGTATTGCTTGTAGATGTGGTTGTCCTGCTTCTTTAGATGCGTTAGATGTGTCATCACTGGGCTGGTCTGTATTATGTTGCGCTGTGAGGAGTTGTGTGTTGCCTTGCAGAAGGTGTACAGGGAGGAGGGGAGGAGGGAGGCCGGCTGCAGTCTGTACGCACACATGCCCCAAACCATCGACACCGTGTTCGCCCGAGAGCTGAGCAAGACGCAGAGCGACGTGAGTCTGAGTAACAGCTTCAAACTCTCACACATAAGGAGTTCATCTTACTCTGAAACAGTAAAGACTCTCTGTGCTGTCAGTGAAATATTAAATATTGACTAACATGAAAACTGAGTTCCACTGAATAACTCGTCTAAAACTAAACAACAAGACAAAAATGTGACTTTAAAACATCTACAATCTTTCAGGAATCGACTAAAACTAAACTAAATTTAATATATCTGTCACAATTAACCCTAACACACACACACACACACACACACACACAGAGGAAGTGCTGCACAGTGTTGGTATCGTTTTGTCTGCCGAGGCGTGAACACTGAGAGCAGCTGTGTGGTGTTCCACCGCCTGAGGACACAGACACTGACCTACTGCCGACACACACACACACACACACACACACACACACACACACATGTACAGTCGAGACAGACAGCAGGTTGAAGCAGTGAAAACACACCATTGCTGTGAATAAATCCACTTTTTCTTTACACATGAGCGTCAGTGGGCCGGAGGGCAGGAGGTCAGAGGTCAACTGGAGCGTGAAACGTGGATGCCACCTTGACAACAGACTGTCTGACGCTGTACAACTGATCTCAGACCTGCAGTCTGGACACAGAGTGATGTCTTTGTTACCAAAGCTTTTATTTTGGTGGTTTGCAGCAGGAGCGCCGGCCCTTTAAGAATCCCTTTAAGTGTGGAGGTTTTAAACTGAAACGTGTTCATTGTGAACCTTCGGTCTCCTCTTCGTCTACCAGCTGAGACATCAGCAGCAGATATAATCAAACAGAGTATTGTTTTTAAAACGTGATCATTTAAAGTAGAAGAAGAAAGCAGGTTCGTTAATATTAGTTTCAAGATGTGAACTTCAGTTGGAAGCTGTTTGTTTTGTTTTATGACAAATGAACCGAATCTGATGTTCAATACATGAACGCTCTGTCTTTATCTATCTGCCTATTATCTAACTCCTCACTCCTCTCCTCCTCTCTCCTCCTCTCCTCCCTCCTCTCCTCCTCTCCTCTCCTCTCCTCCTCTCCTCTCTCCTCTCCTCTTTCCTCTCTCCTCACTCCTCTCCTCCTCTCTCCTCCTCTCTCCTCCCTCCTCTCCTCCCTTCTCTCCTCCTCTCCTCCCTCCTCTCCTCCCTCCTCTGCTCCTCTTTCCTCCCTCCTCCTCTCCTCTATCCTCCCTCCTCTCCTCCTCTCTCCTCTCTCCTCCCTCCTCTCTCCTCCCTTCTCCTCTCCTCCTCTCCTCCTCTCCTCCCCCCCCGTGTAGAAGTCCTATAAGGAGCAGTACAACCTCCAGAAGGGGAGGTGTAGCTACAGCTCCATGAGAGCTCTGCCGGAGGTGGACCACGCCATGGAGGTCACCAAGAAGCAGAGTGAAGTAAACACAAGTTTCTTCTCAAGGAAGCGGAACACGAATGTATCACTTTGAGATCAAAGAGCAGCGACTCAAACTTGAACAATGTTTCAGTTTCTTTATTTCAGTCTCGTTTTTGAAAACAAAGTTTTAAGACGAGACAATAAAACGTTTCACTCCTAGATATCTGCAGGTGATTAAACGATATCTACGTCACTCCTCCTCACTCTATATATGGTCCGTTATGGTCCGCTATGGTCTGTTATGGTCCGTTATGGTCCGTTATGGTCCGCTATGGTCCGTTATGGTCCGCTATGGTCTGTTATGGTCCGCTATGGTCCGTTATGGTCCGCTATGGTCCGTTATGGTCCGTTATGGTCCGTTATGGTCCGCTATGGTCCGTTATGGTCCGCTGTGGTCCGTTATGGTCCGCTATGGTCCGCTATGGTCCGCTGTGGTCCGTTATGGTCCGCTATGGTCCGTTATGGTCCGCTGTGGTCCGTTGTGGTCCGCTATGGTCCGTTATGGTCCGTTATGGTCCGTTGTGGTCCGCTGTGGTCCGTTATGGTCCGCTATGGTCCGTTATGGTCCGTTGTGGTCCGCTGTGGTCCGTTATGGTCCGCTATGGTCCGTTATGGTCCGTTATGGTCCGCTATGGTCCGTTATGGTCCGCTATGGTCCGTTATGGTCTGTTATGGTCCGCTATGGTCTGTTATGGTCCGTTATGGTCCGTTATGGTCCGCTATGGTCCGCTATGGTCTGTTATGGTCCGTTATGGTCCGTTATGATCCGCTATGGTCCGCTATGGTCCTTTATGGTCCGTTATGGTCCGCTATGGTCCGTTATGGTCTGTTATGGTCCGCTATGGTCTGTTATGGTCCGTTATGGTCCGCTATGGTCTGTTATGGTCTGCTATGGTCTGTTATGGTCCGCTATGGTCCGCTATGGTCCGCTATGGTCCGTTATGGTCCGCTATGGTCTGTTATGGTCCGCTATGGTCTGTTATGGTCCGTTATGGTCCGCTATGGTCTGTTATGGTCCGCTGTGGTCCGTTATTGTCCGCTATGGTCCGTTATGGTCCGTTATGTTCTGTTATGGTCCGCTATGGTCCGTTATGGTCCGCTATGGCCCGTTATGGTCCGTTATGGTCCGCTATGGTCTGTTATGGTCCGCTGTGGTCCGTTATGGTCCGCTATGGTCCTTTATGTTCCGCTATGGTCTGTTATGGTCCGCTATGGTCTGTTATGGTCCGCTGTGGTCTGTTATGGTCCGCTGTGGTCCGTTATGGTCCGCTATGGTCCGTTATGTTCCGCTATGGTCCGCT